TTGTTTCTTACTTTTGTAGATGAGTAGGTTGATTCAACTGAAAGTACACTAGCCTGTAGTAGATCTTCTATTTACAACCAATCCTGCATAATCTACATCAGTATAGACTTCTAAGAGTAATCTATCATTTTTTAAAATATAATTCTTTTCTATTATGACCCTTTTAACTATTACAATACTCTGTAGGCTACTTGTAGGTGCATTTCTTTCATATTATGTATGAATTAGTTTACAACACTTATTGTATAGGTAATGTTTGATCTTATGTGGGATAGGTGGGTAAATCAATCTAACATCTCATCTTTCATACATTTTCTTATTTACTGTGTATCTTCCTCTCTATTCATAGTTTGTGATTAAGATTAATGAGAGTGCTAGCTAGTTTATATACTAGCTTACTAATGTCTTTTAATATATCATGAATGTACTTTTTTGAGAAATAAAACTTTCAAATTTGGAGTGAGCAACTTCAATTGCTAAAAAATATTTCAACTTATCTAGTCCTTTAATTTCAAATTCTTTTATTAGACATGGTTTTTATTGTCCTTTAACTTATCTAGTTCTTTTCATCATTTCCTGTTACTATAATATCATCAACGTAAAATAGAAAAGCTGTAACTCTCTTTGTTTATGAGTGTTTGATGAAAATAATGTGGTCTCCTTGAGTTTGCTTAAGTCCCAGATTTATCACACCAAACCTGTCAAACCATATTCTTGGTGATTACTTAAGTATATATAAAGTTTTATTAAGTTTACATATTTTATTTGGTTTTGCTCATCTGTCAAATATTGGTGAAATATTCATGCAGATTTCTTCTTCTAGATTTCCATACAAAAAGATATTTTTCATATCAAAGTATTGTAATTGTTAGTCAAAATGGACAACTAATGATAATAAGATTTGCACAGTAGTCATCTTGGCTATTGATGTAAATGTCTTATAATAGTTTATTCCATATGTTTGTATATAACATTTTACCACCAATCTCGCTTTATATTCTCGATTGTGCCATTTATTTTATATTTGATTGAGAAAACTCATTTTCATCCTGCTAGTTTCTTACATTTTAATTGATCCACAAATTTCCAAGTGTGGTTCTTTTCAAATGCTTACATTTCCATACTTATAGCATTTTTCTATCTTTCACAAGATAATGGCTTAGATACTGTCTTAGAGATATACTCATTGTTTAAACTTATGAGAAAATATATATAGGTTGATGAACACTTATTAAATAATAGAAATTATGAGATAGGGTCTAGAGTATGTTTAGTGCATTTTTTTTACCTTTACGAATTGTAATAAATATATTATTATTAATGGAGTATGTGATGTTTTTCATGATTTACCTCAGTTCTAGGTTAAAGATTAGATTCTTAGAGCTACTTTGACTTAATATTCGACATCTCCCTCATTGTATACACTTGAAAAGATCTAAAGTCTACTATGATATTTTAAGATGATGAATTTTGATGGTTTTCTCATGGTAGTGAGTTTTCTGGTGGATTCTAAACATTTTCTTGTGGTGATGATTTTGGAATTTATGACAATGGTGGTAGATTAAAATTCATTACAAATTCTATATCATTTATCTTCTAATATTGGCTACCATTAAAGATAAGATTGAGTAAAGTAAGATTCTTGTCTAACAAATGTGATATTCGTAGATACATAAAATTTTTGGGTGAGCGGATAACAACATTTGTACCCTTTTTAAGTAGAGGAGTACCATATAAAGGCATGTTTTAGGGTTTGATGATCTAATTTTTCTTTTTGATGGGAATGAATATGAATAAAATCAGTACATCCAAGTTTATAAATGACTAGATGGTTTCTAACACTTATTGATGGATAAAATTGTTGAAGTATTTCAAGATAACTTTTAAAATTAGGGATACTTATGGGCAAACGATTAATAATGTATGTAACAATAAGGATAACTCTGCTCATATATTTTTTTGGGATATTGTTTTGGAAAACAAAAAAGCTCTGATGGTTATTAAAAGGTGACTATTCCGGTATTCTGTTACTCTGTTCTATTATGAGGTGTGGACGTAGGATTATTCATAAAGAATTCTTTCTTAGTGGAAGAATGTTGAAAATGTGTGATTGAAAAAAAAAATTGACATTACCAATACAAATTTTTTTATGGATGTTCCAAATTGAGTTTATAACATATTACAAAACTGAGGTAAAATATGGCTAACATTGTATTTGATTTTAAATAAAAATAGAAAAGTGACTCTAGTACAATCGTCAATAAATGACACAAAATATAGAATTTTATAAACATTAAACCTTGGAAATAGCCCCCAAACATCACTATGGATTAATAAAAATAGAATTAAACTTTGTTTATTCCTAATGAGAAATATCACACGCTTATGTTTTACATCTCACAGATATCGCAACGTACACTCCATATTTTGAATTCTTAATTAATAATAAAAACATCACTTTTTAAGATAGAGAATAATGGATGCCTAAGTCTTTAATGGTGAAATCGAATCTTGTATATAAGGTCAATAATAATAGCAAAAAAAAAAAGATCTTTCACGTGAATCCAAGTAGTATTGTCCATTTTTGCCTTTAGTGTATACAATTATCTTCCTTGAATTCTGATCCTGAAAGTTACAATGAGAAAAATCAAATATGACTTTACAATTCAAGTCTTGTGATAGTTTACTTATTGACACAAAATTAATACACAATTTAGGAATATGTAATATATTTTTCAGGATAAGGGTAGTGGTAAGCTTATTATTGTCATTGCTTCCAATACTCAGGCATAAAAATATATGTACAAAAATATTTACAAATATTGGTCATATAATCTGTGGCTCCCGAGTCTAAAATATAAAATTTTTTAAAAGATTTATCTTAGACATTTAGTTTAAGTAAAGTGGAAACTATACCTGATTGTACTGATAAATCAGTACCTATTTGTTTCTTCATGGACTCACGTCGAACCATTAATCTTTCAATCTATATTTTGAATTTACTAAGATCTAAAGTTGTCATGTTCTAATTTGCTACCATAACTTGGGATGTACTCTCCGACATCATTTTAAGAATTTAATAGTAATTAATTATCAAAAAGAAAAAAATTACTCGAAAGATTTTACCCGAAATATGTGGTTGCATGAAGTCATTTGCATTTGGTCGCAATGAAGGTGACAAAGAGATATTTGCGCAACAATGAGTACTTGTGGACAACTGTTGGAGTAGCAACTGTTATAGGATCGACTATGAAGGTCAACTAGTGATATCTAGTGACAGGGGTGGTGGTGGTTGGCTATGAAGTCTGACCCTTTTTAGGTTTTTTTTCTTCAACAATGAAGGTCGAATATGATTTATAAAAGAGTTCAAAGATTTTTTAACCTAAAACTTTGGTATCGTATTAAAAATAATTTTTTTATTAATATATTTTGTTAAATATTACAATCCTGTATATACATATTTTTTAGAATAGAAAATGAAATAGATAATTAATTATAATTAATTAAAGATGTGTAATTATACATTGATTTTCTTTCTTCTTACCAATATGATTTATTTTCTTTTTTGTATTTTGATTTATTTCTTCTTTAATACCTTGATTTATTTATTCTTTAATGCCTTAATTTACTTTTTTTTAATAGATTAATTTACTTCCATCTCTAACATAATGAAAATGAAGTTATAATTAGGAACAAGGCTAAGCTAGTGGCAAAAGGGTAAAATCAAGAACGAAAAAGTTTATGTTGATGAAACCTTTGTCCTAGTAGCATGGTTCGAAGCCATTAGAATGCTATTGACATTTGTTTATTTTAAAGACTTTACATCTTCTCAAATGCATGGGAAAAAGTGCTTTTTCAATGTATACATTGCGAAAGAAGTCTATCAAGAGCAACTACAATACTTTGTAAATTCATATTTTTCTTATCACGTCTATATACTAATAGAAGCTTAGTGGTCTTAAACAAACACCAAAAGAGACAAAAATGACATACTAGTCATACAAGTATATGTTGATGATATGATTTTTAAAGTTATGGGAGAGAAAATATGCCAAAATTCTCGGTGCATGCAAGTTGAGTTTGAGATTAAGATGATGAGTAAACTTAATTATTATTTTTTTCTGCATGCAAATAAAATAATCCAAGAAAGATATTTCTATAAACTAAAACAAATATATTAACGGCTCTTTAAAGAAATATGATATGTAAAATTTAAATCTAGTAGTACATCAATAAACACCTTTAAAAGTAATAGATAATGCCTTGTACAATGATTTTCTCTATCTTTATGATATCAAAAAAAAAAAAAAAAAAGGAACATTACTTTTTGTAATTTTTTATTTAATTAAAAGCATTAACAAATTAACTATTTTTTTTTAAAAAAATTTATAATGAAATTTTCAGTTTCATATATTTTCTTTATCTCTATAACATTAAAAAAAGGAAACGAAAAAAAGAAAAGGGTATTGATTTTTTGTTTTTTGTTTTTAAGTTTAAAAGAATTAATTGATTAAGCTAATATTTACTTAAATTTTAAAATAAAATTGTCAAATTCATAAATATTTTTTGTAGTTTTCCATAATCCTAAATAAATTAATCGTCATTTCTTTATTGGTGGCATAGACTAGTTGACTGCCTAACAGAAAATCAAGACGAAAATGTAACCAAATAATTATTTTCAAAAGCTCACTTTCAAAGCACACAAAAAGAAAGAGTATTCAAGCTAAAGAAACAACAAAAACCTGAAAATTATGGCCAATAAATAGATTTTTAAAAAAGAAAAATATAATGAATAAAATTTTTTTAAAAAATAATAAATAAATAATGGGAACTCATCAAGCTAGTAATAAGTACATAGCGTCACCCGCGTGTTACGATACCCTCTGTCACCGCCCAATGAAATCTTAACAGGTTATCCTGATACGTGATTGGTCCGTCAACTTGACGGTGCGATGATTTAATTTTTAAAACAAAAAAGGAAAAAGAAAAAGAAAGAAGAGTTGGGTTGTCTTCTAATAAGTTCTCAAAAAACCGTGTTGTGAATTCAAAGCAAGAGAACAGAGAGGAGTGAGAGATTTAAATAACGTTCCTGGTTTTCTCTTTCTGCATATTCTTCGCATCTATCCGGCAGCTTTCTAATTTCCGTTTTCTTACCATCGAAAAGGGAGTTTCCAGTTGATTCACTATCGAAAAACGTATTCTTACCAACCATCTTCAAATCGAAAAACGTATTAGAAATCAAATTTCACTGCGGGATATATATTTTTAGAGAGAGAGATTTGGATTTCGGTGGAGGCATTGGATCTGACTCGAGAAATCGCAGCCGGGGTGTTTAATTTGGAGATGCTCACTTAAGAAGCTCTTTCAGGTAGGATTATTTCTGTGTTATTAATTTGGTGTCTGTGTTCGAGTCTTTTTGTGCTTAATTTTATTGGAAAAGGCTCAATTTTCACTTCGAGTTGTCAGATCTCGCTTATGTTCTTTGATGATTATGGCTCTTTTGGATCCAACTATGTGGATTAGATCTTTGCTTTTGAGTAAATTGTGAATTGATGTGATGTCAGGATCTTGCAATGTATTGGTTTCTCTCTCTCTCTCTCTCTCTCTATCTATCTATCTATATGCATGTAAGTGCATATATGTATGCGTGTTAATTACCTAATCTACTCACTGGATTAGGTAAGATATAGTTTTTGATATGGATATGATTAGAACCCCTTACTAGTAGTTGATCCACAAGTGTGCTTGTTGTTTTGAGAAAACGACAATTTAAGCATTTCAAGAGGTTAGTCTACTTGGATTTTATGCTTTTTTCTGTAAATTAGCAAGATATTAGAAATTCATTTTAGACCTTTTTCTTTGTGCAGTTTAATCACTTTTCCATATGGTTGCTTCATGTTATAATCTATTCGTGGATTTCTGCACCATCTGTATATAACTTTTTGTGTTCCTTGTATCTTGTTTTTTTTTTCCTTCTGGAAATTGTTTGGATGCTATTTTGGGTGCATCTATTTCTTGCTATGTATTAATTCCCAGGTGATGATTAGCAGTATATTTGATTGTACGAATCCTTCGTTGTGCCTTTCCTTTATGCAGATTTAGACGTGTGAAGTGCCATAGTTGGGGGGAAAACCAATGAAAAACGGGATGATGGAGTGCAGTGTCTGCCGTTCGAGGTTGGTTTCCCCAACTAACAGAGCTGTTTCAAGGGCTTATGATCGTCATAAGAGCAGAGTATCCTCTAAGCTACGTGCCCTCAACATCCTTTTGGTAGTAGTGATTGTATCCTAGTTGGACTACAGGTAGTCTTTTGCTATCTTTGATCTTATTGATTTCTTGCATCTGGTATCTCCTTATAGGCA